CATATAAATTCATGGATCAGGACGGCCCATAAAAACAATGATAATAAATTCCCCGTGAAAATTTAAGATTTTTCAGTACTTGATAAGAACAATTTTACAGATTGTATGAATTTTTTTAACTTATTGAAATATTGTCTGCATACTGGTATATCTTACATCTGATATAACACCCCCCGGTTACCATGTCTAGTTTTCTTATTGTTTTTAATTGAAAATTCTCTGATCTGTATGGCAGTGCATGATATATATAGCCATGATATAGAAATGGTATTTTAAGTCCATCTGCTGTCAATGTTGATATTTGATTATCAGTCTATAACATGTACTGGACATGTACAGCTGCTTGATAGCTAGACATTAGCCCTGAAGCACTAATTGTGTATATACAATATAATACTATGCACATGATTTTATGCCTTGTTACAATGAACAGACTATTAATAATACAACAACTATTTGACAAGCGACATAGTGACATAGAAATGGTTATATTGACAACAACTAGTACTTACATATATATGTAACTACAGGTTACCATGGTAACTGAATTTGACCCGTTATGGTGACACGGGGTGGGTCAGTAACCCTTTGTGGGATATCCAGATTATTGATCTTTATCGGCAATAATTAAAGCACGATTGGTAATCAATGACATTATTGATAGAAAAATCACAGAGAAAGATGTACATCTGAGATAACAGCTGTCCAGATTCCATTTAACCAGCTGATCAGGAATTGTCAGTTTGTCCAGGTTTTCTGGATTTGATTTACAAATTCAATTTATTCTTGTCCAGGATAAATTATTAATTCAATATTGTCATTTTCAAGAATCATTTTTTCATTATTGTGTTATAAAGAGACATAACTTACAGACTTTGAACACCAGAATGTTGTTCTGAATATGAGCGAAGTACTACAAGCAAACTGAATCACACAAGCAACTTATATTACTGGGGAAAAAAATACAAATTTGTAAATGACAAATGGCATGTCACACAAGAAAAACATGTCGGTGTCAATGTGATGAAGAATTCCTCCATTTCTTAACAGATGAGAATCAAATTATTGTCTACAAATGGGAGAGAAGATTGACTTGAGCAAATGCGAAAGGGTTATTTATGTTAAAAAATAGACAAAATTAATTAATTATTAGCAAATGGAAAGGACAAATGTTTCAAGGACAGGGACTAGATTTACATATAGATTTAATTAACATAATGGATTTAGGAAAACTAAAGGCCATTTGGCAGGCCCTTGTGCATGAAAGTATTAGAAATCTGTATGATTTTCATTCCCTGTGCACGAAAAGATTAGAAAGAGTAATGATTTCAGGTCCTTAGTGTGCACAACAGGATTAGAAATCTGTATGATTCCATTTCCCTGTGTGTGGAAGATTTATGATATTAAAATGCTTTCAGGATTATATATATACTCTGCATGGTTTAGTTTGTCTTCTCTCTGTCAGGATGAATTGATCAGCGTTATCACATATGTTGTTGCTTTGTTTGCAAACATGGTAATTTTCTGTTCAAATGATTTTGTAGGTTCAGATTATCAATATTTGAATGGATACAAATGCCACTGTTCACTGTTGTAAGATAAGGATTTCAATTACATGTGCATTGATTTACTGAGGAAATCTATCGGCATTCACTCTCATTTAGAAGCAAAGTATCATAAGATTGTTTCGTTCAATGAAACCAAAGAGGAAGATTATTTTTATTTCAATGGATGTCCTTTACTATTTGAGCATTAAACAAGACAAAATCTCTCGCCAAGCATTCCGAACCAAAAGGTCCTAGAATCATTTTGTAAGGATGTTTAAAGACGGAATATGATTTTAAAACATACACATGATTGATGTATGAAGCTAAGTGAGCACGGGCATTTCCGGTACAAGTTGTAGCTCTTGTTTGAAGATACAGGATTCTTTTCCAGTTGACATCCCTATTGATTTTGTCGTGGTTGCTCCAATGCTTAAGGTCTGTGCGTTATATTAGGCCAATGAGACGCGATACGAAGTCTATGGGGAAAATCAATGACTCTCACTAACAGTCGGTAGCAGGGAAAGTTATTAATCTTCCTGCTTTACACACATCGGATTTAGCCAAATAACAACTGTAATGCTGTAATATCAACACCTTCAGGACTTAAGCAAGTGTCAGCAATTTTGTTGTTCTTTCTCACCTAACTGTCTGTCTTAATATCTGTCCTCTTCTGATTGTTTGTTCGGGTTATTGGAATATTAATTGATCTGGAAAGTATTGGATTGTTTATCTTCAAGATAAGTGATCTTCATTTTCTGTAAGTATTTTCAACTAAATAAACATACATTTAATTAATAGCTTAACAATTCTTCTTGATCAATTTTTTTTTCCCAAACACACAAGTAGATCGTTATTTCTAGGAATTGTTTTTTGCATTTCTTACACTATTTTCCTTCACATCATATCTGTTTCATAAAGATGTTTACAGTCAAACCTCACTGTCTCGAAGGTGGCAGATCTGTAGGAAAACTTCTAATTATCTGAGTATTCGATTTGAGCGACTTTGAATGTTAGGTATGAAGAATGGCCAGGATCGCTGAAATATTTCAAATCAAATGATGCCTAAAAGTTTGAAATAACAAGGCCCTACTGGAACTTAATGTGATGTATTTAATGTCACTTAGAAAAATATTTTAATTTTAAGTAATTTTGACAATAGTTAATTCTCATAATTTTCATAAAAATGCAAAATTAAGTTTCAGAATTTTTGGAAAATTGCGGGAGTCGTCAAGATCTACAAAGAGAAAGGGGCAGTTTAGGTAGTCTTCTCGCATTGTAAGTGTATACATAATGGGCGTTCATATCAACCGTCGAGTCATGCTGGTTCTGGGAAAGAACTCCACTTCATGTTTATTTATTGTTAGGAGTACATGTTGATAAGTTATTGGGATGTCAAACATTTGTACAAACAATCAAAGCAACCCTTACTTGAAACAGAGGCTTTGAATCTGAAGAGATATTTATGATTATCAAACAGAGGAAAACAGTAAACATAATCTTCACCTTGAATGACCTTAAGTCTGTGATTACTGGTGTACATTAGTGATTCATGCACTTAGTGACCTTGGGCTGCTGATAATATGTAAAATTCAAAGTGCGTACATCTTAACTTGTGTATGCAAGTTAACTTGACTTTGAAAACACTTGATAATATAGTGTTAGTATTGTAAGTGTGTGATTAGCTCCACCTACCAACCTCCAATAGTCAATAGACATTAGTATATATACAGACTAATAGGGATTACACTTCACAAGTGTTAATTCTTTCACTTCTAATTTTTTTTCTAGATATTGTGTAATATATTTCACTGATATATTTAATGATGCATAAAAGCCAAAAAATATTTGAAAATAATCATTACTTCGTTATTTCATTACTTTTGAAATATGTTGAAAATGAACAATACTGGAAACATTTTTAATGTATTAAAGCCTTTATAAAATGTGTTCTAATTTTTTTAATATTACAGAAAGAAAAAAGTATACACAAAAATATACCTGATCAGGAAACTTGATCTTTATTGAGTTTGATGAAGATAAAACTGTACCTGGTAGGTACATGTGTACTAATTTGACACCATTTAGTTTATCAGGATTTGTAAGTTGACAGTTGAATATCTACAAAGTGTAATATCGTACATACAGTGTGAATCTGCCATGACAATTGTAGGACATCACAGCTACTGAAGTTCAATGGTATCATGTTATCTCACATACCTGAAAGTCATTGTTATAAAAAACAATGTCACAGGTATAAGGGTAGAGCTAATGATGTTACTTTGATAAGGGTTTGTTTGGTTCCTTTTGCAGGACAATTAGAGTTAAGGGACAAACTAAGCATATCAATAAATCCCAACAAACTTATTATAAGTTTATACTTCTTTGTTGGTAGGTCTGCTTGTTTCACCAAAACTGTGGACTTTTGGTTCAGAAGAAGTCCACATTTTGCTCAAAACTAATTGACATACATATAAAGAATGATCTTATCCCAAGTTTGCTGTGATTGATTCCCATTTTGAGTTTGTCCCTTAACCATTTACCCTTAACTCATTACCCTTAACCATTTACCCTTAACTCATTACCCTTAACCATTTACCCTTAACTCATTACCCTTAACCATTTACCCTTAACTCATTACCCTTAACTATTTCCCTTAACTCTTTTCCTTAACACTTTACCTTTAACTCTTTATCCTTCACTCATTACCTTTAACTCTTTATCCTTCACTCATTACCCTTAACTCATTACCCTTAACTATTTCCCTTAACTCTTTTCCTTAACACTTAACACTTAACTCATTATCCTTAACACTTTACCTCTAACTTTTTACCCTTATCTCATTACCATGACTCTTTACCCTTAACTCTTTACCCTTAACCAACAATTTCAGTTGTGGTCTTCATTTTAAGTGGTAGTAATATTTGAAGCATTATTTAACCTATGAACGTTTTACTGTATGTTATTTGTAGATGTTGTGGTGCATAACAATATGATAAATACCTGCCCCGGACTGTTTTTGTATGAAATTGCATAAAAGATGTGGAAATGTAATAAGAAACATGAAAAAACATCATTTACAAATACATATTAAAATCATTCTTATCAAGTTCAAAGAGATTGAACAGACATCAGACATTGTGTCATATCTCAGAGAGCAAGTATGCTACAATATTTGACCTAGTGACTGTGACTCCCAGTTCAAATCACAAGATGGATGTGAAACTGATATTTTGTACAAGGGAAGCAAAGATTTAAAAGGTAAAAGACACATTAGCAGAACTGAGATGCAAAGGTCAACACCAATTTTCTGTTCCTGAAAAATGGTTGGGAGGTATGATACTTGTAAAGACTGGTGTGCCTATTATGTTGAATTCATGCTGTAAATAGATTGCACAATTCACCTTAATGCTTGTATTTCTATGGACTATTTCTCCTGTCTACAGTTGATGAAGGATGTCAGCCAAAGCTATTTATGAAGCCAAGGGCAAAGAACTACTTAACAAGTTCCTGAAGGACACAGCAGTAGGTAACCGTGTTGCCACGGTAACTGAAGATGTCACATGGAGTGTACTGACACAAGAACATCCCTGGCTGTTGACTGAGGTAAGTAGGATTTTCCAAATTGTAGTTCAAGATATTTTCATACCAAAGGCTGCTTCAGCTTAACTTGCTATCAATGTACAATGACCAAATTTGCAAAACTGTCATCACTCAAAATAAGTTTGTGTTAAATTATTTTCAGTTTATATAGAGTTATGGCCCTTTATTATGTGCATATATTGTATCTTTGTTTGATGGAATACAATTAATGTTGTTCATGAACTACTATTAACCATACTTGTGATAGGATTAACTGACATTTACAATATGCAGCTGTTTGCTTACCCAAGTATACCAAACTGCTTGTTTTTAAGTTGGGGAGGTAATTTTCGTAGTAAACAGGATTCACAATGTCTGTCATTCTCTGTAGACAGTATATGGTATGGTAACTCCAGTTATTATCAAAATTCTGATAGACTTTTACAGATATAATTATAACATACAAAGATATCTATCATCTGCAGAAATTTTTCTGGTCCCTCTGGTTTTATTTTTATTTTTTGACAGCTGACATGAGTATCCCACCATATAAATGTTGTTTTAGCAGATTTTGACAACAAAATCAGTCTTTATGATCATGATCAGTCATCAACTGACTTCAATGATTTAAAATATATATATTATTTTTCAGTAATATTTGTATACAAAATTTCCATTTTTTTTTCTAAATATGATATGGTGTATTTTCTGTTTTGACATATCGAGATTCAGAATTTTCTATTGTACTTTCAATTCTCTCAACCTATATTGTACTATTTACAGAAACTTGTGGTTAAACCAGACCAGCTGATTAAACGTCGTGGGAAGCTGGGACTAATTAAAGCAGGCACAGACCTAGACGGTGCAAAGGAATGGCTGAGTCACAAACTGGGCAAGGATTTCCAGGTAAATCCTAAATAAAATCTGAGTATAAGGAAACAGATCACCACAAATTTCCTAAAATTGTGACCATGTTTCCTATCTTAGCCTGACTTCATCATTCATATTTTATTAAGTTTGAATAATCCAATCACTGATGATGAAAATTTCAACAATATTTTTGTTCTTTGTTGGTATGTTTGTATTTCCTAGTCATATGAATATCTATAGACATGTACATGTAGGGAGGGGGCGTGGCAGACCTTATGTCATATTGATTGCTAGAATTGGATCATCATAGTTGCAACTCTCATCCCACTCATCCCTGCTACATGTATCTTCACTCACTAATCCCCTACTGAGTCCCACATCAAGGAGGCCATGATTACCCTGGCATACACACCTGCGAATGAAGATCTGAGGTGCTTGGTTCCAAGCTCATTACTCATTTTCTCCATGAAACTGAGAAATAGACTTGTGTCTGCTTACTAAGCTGGATTTTTCCTTTGGTAGGACACTTTAGTTCCATTGCTTGAGATGGCATACAATGTGCCTCCCATATGTTGTTCAGTAAGGTGTCTGCCAATAACTACTAGGAGACCCTGTCCATGTAATCTTATATTTATGATATGAATGTTAAGATTAGTTATATTTTGGAGAAGGAAATAACTGGCCTATAGAATTCCTCTTATTTTATAATTGTTGCGCATAATTTTTCATGTACTAGGTTTAGTACAATTCAGAAATATGTTGGCATCCACTTTTTGACAAAAATAGAATATATTGTATACTGGAATATTTTTACCTCAAAACTATTTTACGCGGTGAGGATTATATAAATGGGTTATATAAGTGTAACAGAGTTGTATACTCATCTTTAATTCTCCCGCCCTGTTCATGGACAAAAAAAAAATATTGACAGAAATTTCCTGGCTTACAGTAATGATTGGAAACCTGGCTTCAGCAATTGCTTTCTTTCTTTTCTGCAAAAATTTTAAATGTATTAATTGAAATCAGGCAAAATACATACAATATGTACAGAAGTAGATTGTTAGATATTATATCAGATGACAGCTGTTACCGGGGACAGATGTCGCCTCTCTGTTAATAGATAGGGGAGGATTGATTGAGTATTGAGTTATGTTGTATGACAGGAGGTTTTAAGGAAGTCAAATTAAACAATTGGATAAGTTTTTAAAATTATTCTGACTTATACATTAATGTGAGGTTTTTTTTATCACATAACTCACATTCATGACAAATTAAGTTAAAATTGTTTCCTTTAACTTCTTTATGAATGTATCAGGTATATATTGGTTTATCAATTTATCAGCTGGGTACTTGGCCCTTTATGAATGTATCAGGTATATATTGGTTTATCAATTTATCAGTGTACTTGGCCCTTTATGAATGTATCAGGTATATATTGGTTTATCAATTTATCAGTGTACTTGGCCCTTTATGAATGTATCAGGTATATATTGGTTTATCAATTTATCATTGTATATATCTTTATTGATTTATCTGTCACATGGTCTTTTGAATCTATAATGTTATATTTTAGTTTTTGCTGTATACAATGCACATACCTTTGCATTATCATATTAGTGGTCTTGTATCGGTGTATGTTGTATTAGAGTATATTTCTTCTTGTATGTGGGTATATGGTCTTGTATGTGGGTACATGGTCTTGTATGTGGGTATATGGTCTTGTATGTGGGTATATGGTCTTGTATGAGGGTATATGGTCTTGTATGTGGGTATATGGTCTTGTATGAAGGTATATGGTCTTGTATGTGGGTATATGGTCTTGTATGAAGGTATATGGTCTTTTGGGGTATGAAGTCTTGCATCAGGTAAATGGTGTTTTATTGGGGTATGTGGTCTTGTATAGTATGTGGTCTTGCATCGTATATGGTCTGTTATCAGGAAATATAAACAGCATTTTTAGAATTATTGAATTTCATGTAAGATCTTGTTTGATCTTGTTTGTTGACTTACTGATCAAGACACTGAATCATTAATTATTGATAAAGACAAGTCTTTAGTTTCTTAAGCTAGGTATTAAAGTCATGTTGAATATCGACCCAATATCACGGTGTCACAATGATTAGGTTTTAATGAGGACTGTGATATACAGGTGAATGCTGTAGCGGTTTTAGATCTGATGACTGATAATTATCATCCACTTATGGGTACATGGAGTCAAGGAAGCAAGTATATACCTTGCCTTAGAGAATAGAATCTTCTAAAAAATCAGAAGACTTTATGTACTGTAATTTCCTGTGTAAAGCCTGCAGGTTAACCAATGTTGATGGTGGGCTATTTAAATTGCCCTATGTCTGTGGTCGGTCTGTCTGTCCATGAACAATTATTATTATAGCTAGTTTTTGGGAAGTAATGGATGGATCTTTCGCAGATTTCATATGGAGGTTCCGTCAATCTCTAATTGTGCCTGATTGATTTTGGACTGATCAGAAAAAAAAATGGCTGACAGACAGTCATCTTTGATTTTATCTATTATAGTTTGTTATCGCTATTTCTCAAGTTGTACTGGATTGGTATTTTTCAAATTTCATATTTAGTTTTTCATTGGTCCCTGATTGTTTCCATTTTAATGTGGGAGTGATCAGAAAAAGAAAAAGGCTGACAGATAATTATCTTTGATTCCAACAAGGAAAGTTTGTTATTGCTATATCTTCAGTAGTACTTAATGGATCTTTCTCAGGTTACATATGGAGGTTCCTCATCCCTAGTGGTGCCCATTTGATTTTAGGAATGATCAGGGGGAAAAATAAGCAAAGAGGAAATAGTTTCTTTTCACTTCTTCTAGAAAAGTACAGGATGGATCTCTCTCAAAATTCATATGTGAGTTCCCCATGGTCCCAAGTTGTACCATTAGACTTTTAGACTAATCAAAAAAATAAAATGGCTGACAGGATTTTGCAGGTAAATATTGTTATTGCTATTTATTCAGAGGAATGCTTAAAATTTGTATTATTAAGAACAAAAACAGGAGAGAAGAGAAAAGAATGGAAAAGATCCAACTTTTAATGAACAAATGAAGATCAGTTAATGGTGGGGGCCAAGATCCCTATAGGAACTCTTGTTTACATATGGAGGTGTCTTGTAGGCTCTCTGGTGAAGTGAGCTATATGTGTTTTCTTTACATCTAAAATGTAACTATTTTCTCAGTAATGCTTGGTAAGATTTTGTGGCCTGCACCATAGTTAAGCTAGAACTCTATCGATTGTATCAAGCTGATCTCACAACCCCATAATAAGTTTGTCGTGCGATATTGATGTGGCAGTCAAATACTGCTTCCCTGGGCATTGGAAACGGGGGGAGTCGAGAGCTTGTAATTACCTACTATTGTATTGAGACCTCTGAACTGATTGATCTTGTATTCGGTAATAAGCCTAGCTGTCCAGCACATTCCCATATTGTTGCAGTAAGCAATATATAGGTATCAGAAATACAAATTGATTATCAAGATTAGCAACTCAATCAACCATGTTTTTATCTGCTAGTATTCTACATTTCAGATCATGTTAATAGGACAATATGGACTTCTTATTATCTGTAAAATATAGAATACTTTATTACCAGTTATTTTTGTGGTGACAATATTTTGCTTTTTCGCGGTACAGTAATATGATTCCGGAAATAAAATCTGTTTTACATCCATATCGCAAAATTTTAATTAATTAAAAATTACCAGCTATGCGGTAAATGTTATTTTCTAATATAAACTTTTGTTTACTTCTAAAACAGATCTTTTTATTGAAAATTCAATTTAATCTTAATTTCACCTCATTTGGCGATTTATTTTCCCAACTGAAGCAAACGGTAGGATTGAACAAATATTGTGAAAGTGACTTCAGTGAAGTTATGATTCAGTTTAGGAAGACAAATACATGACTTTGACATCATAGGAGTGTACATGAAGTGGTTATCGTCAATTTGTGTAGAACGGTTCAAATGATCCATAATAATGCATCGCTAAAAACAATTTCAATCAATCACACCGTCTTGTTCATATGGTGTTCAGGCAATTCTTTCCCATTAGTGTGGTCTGATTGAGAAATATTGACAGCAGTTCCCAAGAGCCCCACTCAGTGGTACTGGGGAGACTTGTATTTGTGTTACAACAGCAGTAATGGATCAAGAGACAAGTGGGAGTCTGCACTGAAGTAGCGTTATTTTCCATTAGAGTGTTGTGTATTTTTGGTATCACAACAACAGACCTAACAGACATCAATCTTTGTTTCGTTTAACAAGAAGAAAACTTTGATACTTTGGTATTAAAAGTTAATTTTAAAAAGTTTAATTTTTAAATTTTTTTTAGGAGGTTTTCCAGACATATTAACAGTGACCTTGATCTTCATCCTACAATGCTGAAACTTAGAATTGACAGTTATTATAATCCTTTATAAAGTATGTGCAGTTTGATAAAATTCCTGAAGGAATGAAGCACCTAGACTGATGACAAGGATCTAATTAGGGTTGTAATGATAACTTTGCCCTCGTCACCACGAGTCCTACTCCTCTCAGATATTATAGTCCAGAGGAAGACCGTTAAGTTTGATAAAAAACTCCCTCAAGGAATGATAATAACGGTCAGCTAGACCTTACCCCAGAACCCTGAAACTTGAACTTGACCGATATTATGGTCCTTTATAGATATTCATTTGAACTGGACCATGTAATGAAACCACTAATTCATTGACAAAGGTTTTATAAAAAAAATAGTTATGGTGAACTTGACCTTGACATTACAAGACTGATCAAAATCTCTCATGTGATTAGTTATTGCTTAAGAGCTTTGACTGTTTTGGGTATTAAGTACAACCTTATCGTAGCATCCCTACATCTTTGTGAGGACATCAGCATCCCTTTATCCCTGTGAGGACATCAGCATCGCTATATCCCTGTGAGGACATCAGTAGTTTCCAACCCTGACACAGTTAAGACATGATTTAATGGTCGACCTTCTATCTTACAGATTGGAGCTGCTCGTGGTAAGCTGAGGAACTTTGTCATTGAACCATTTATCACACACACACAGGTATACATACTTTGTTGATTCAAAACACTTGATTATCAACACAGATATAAAAGATGACCATTTCATTTAAAGTTTAGTGTCAGATTACAAAAGTTCAGGTACTGGGTTCAAGGAATTTTCAAGTAAACATTAAGACTGATTTCAATTTTCTAATTGTGTTTTATAGAAAGTTTCAAACATGTTTCCTTTGCATACTCTCATTCTTGATAATATTTTGTATTTTTTGTGTTAATACACTATAACATGACAGCAGAAGTACACATAAAGACTGATTTCAATTTCTAATTGTGTTTTATAGAAAGTTTCAAACATGTTTCCTTTGCATACTCTCATTCTTGATAATATTTTGTATTTTTTGTGTTAATACACTATAATCGTTTTGTTTTATACCATGAGCTGACAGCAGAAGTACACATTAAGAATTTTTTCTAATTGTGTTTTATAGAAAGTTTCAAACATGTTTCCTTTGCATACTCTCATTCTTGATAATATTTTGTATTTTTTGTGTTAATACACTATAATCGTTTTGTTTTATACCATGAGCTGACAGCAGAAGTACACATTAAGACTGATTTCAATTTCTAATTGTGTTTTATAGAAAGTTTCAAACATGTTTCCTTTGCATACTCTCATTCTTGATAATATTTTGTATTTTTTGTGTTAATACACTATAATCATTTTGTTTTATACCATGAGCTGACAGTAGAAGTACACATTAATGCTGAAATGTTTTACTGATAGAAAACTCATAAAATTAATTTTTGTGGAATTTGAATTTCGTGGTTTTACAAAGATATATATTTTTGTTGGCACTTAATTTTGTGGATAAATCTTGATCACAAAATCCACAAGTACTATGATCTCTGTCCATTTTTATTTGTTTATCATTTCATGGATGTGTAAATTCATTGATCAAGAGTGTAACCACAAATTCACTGAAAATAAAAACACACAAAAATAAATATTTACCATACTATGTCCAAGAATATTTTGGTGACGTACATTGTACAAGATCATCTTTATCAAAAAGATACCATTTCAATATTTTTCATATGACCTATAAACATAAATGTAAATACTTGACAGAATTCCTACAAGATTTTGTTTTTTCCTAGGATGAAGAGTTCTACGTGTGTATATACTCCCACAGACATGCAGATAGCATCCTGTTCCACCACGAAGGGGGTGTCGACATTGGTGATGTCGATGCCAAGGTAAGTATTTAAAGTTGCAAAATTTTTTTTTTTTTTGTGAGGGGTGTTTTTCAGAAAGAATTTCTTAAGATGCATGTCAAACCCCAGAATGTATCATCGTCAGCTAATTTTCTCTCTGTCAATCATCTGAACAGTCCTCAATTACCCTGTGAATTACTAACTAATGGGGAAATATTTGATGAATATTTGAGCCCCAGAAATTGAAATGCAACATGTTTATTTTTGCAAATAAGTTAGAAAACATGTTTGCCATAAATTAACAGTTTCAGATAAAATTTTACAATATGAATCACCTTTTATATAAAACAAACACTTAAATGAAAGATACAATATTATGATAGAGCTGTATGTAATAGATCCCTAGCTCTTCAGATCTGCCTGTAGAAGAAACTGGTTTTGCCTTAAGTAGCACCAAAATAGTACTATTCTGATTTCAGGACTCGTCAACTTGAGTTGGTTTTATGGTCGTGTTTACCATGAAAGAAATCTCGAGAAATTATTTTTTCTTTATTTATGATATTAAATTTTTACATTGTCCTAGAATTTCACTTCAAATTTGTTTTCATTCTCAAATGATAATAGCATCATAATATTTTTTTTTTTGGTTTGAGTATTGTATCAAGTGAACAACACTTTGAACTTTTGGATCCTGTGATGTAACATGTGTTTTGTCGATGTATGTATCAAAACTGTACAAAGCCTTTTAAATCTGTGCTGGGGTTGTAGGGATGCTATGGAATAGCTACGTCTAAGCCTCCAGATCAATAAACATTGCATGTTTTTCTCCTGATGGGTATAACAGACTAGAATGAAGGCAGATTTTCTTTCAGTTTGTTTTTTTCAATCACAACTTTAATGATGTATACTGCCTTATCATACGTATCTCCTTGTACAGAAGAGTTCTGCACTGGTTAACCTTAGAAATATCTCTCTTAAATTGATTGATAACATTTGAAGAATAAAACATGTTTGAATATAAATATAAATATGTAATTTTTATGACATCAATTTACTTTCTCATTTAAACAGAACTAGAAATTAAGAAAACGATAGAAAAAACAAAAATGTTTGATTGAAGAATCTGTTGCCCTTTTTATGGAGATATTTAGTTTCAATTCGAGTTCAAAGGTTATAAGTATCTAGTTCTGGGTTCTGAAGTAATTTTACTCAACTTCTGTATTTCAGACAAAAAAACATGTTTTTCAGTTATTTTATTGGGTGTCAAAATTGTCATTCCTACGCATTGCATTCACAATCTGCTGTATTTGCTGTTTTGCTTTAGGCTGTCAAATTGGACGTGTCAGTTGGGGAGAATTTGACTGCAGAAGCAATTACCTCTAATCTTCTTGTAAATGTTCCAGCAGCAGCACACAGGTAGGTCAAGGACATTTTGTTTCCTCTTCATGCCATTGTTTAAGTAAAATAAAAACAGATGTGATATTAAAAGCAATGTGATAAAAGAGGGAATCTCAGAATATATTGAATTAGAGATATTGTTTTATTGTGAAAAGATAGAAAAAAAAAAAATTAGTTATTTCAGGTCCAATTTTCATCAAGCTAAAGATGCATAGATGTGATTTCAATTTTTCCAATTATGGCAATATTACTTGTGTTTTTGTTTTTACTTCTGAACATTTGTACCTCGTCAAAATCATAGATAAAACAATTATATTGTTATTTTGAAAATTGCCATCTTAACGAATTAATATCAGGAAGCTATGATTGACTGTCATCCTTCACTTAGGCTTGGAATACAACTATTAATATAGTAATCGTATTATTATTTAAAAAAAAAACTAAAATAGCGATTTGAAAGATTGCGGCATTATTTACGCAGAAAATTTCTGCTAGAGGGCTCTTACTGTTTTCGATATTTCAGCCAATGAGAAGGCCAGGATCGGTAAATTTTGTCTGAAAGGCCGTCGCAATAGGCTATTATATACGTACTGAGTATGTTTAGCCTAAAAATGCTTATTGATAAGACTTTGTTTCTATTTGATATGTGGTTTACATGTGATTTACAAAATGAGTCTAAGAATGGCAGCTTCACACGCTAAGGTCATAGGTCATCTTTTATGGCACATTAGTCGAGGATGGATTTGAACTGTTATTAATGTCTAGTTATTGAATAGATGCTGTATTTTTGTTATAACTGCCCTGATGTGTTTTTTCTGGTGTTAACCCTGGAATACTTGTCTGCTACAGCACCCTCACATCATTCCTTATGGCCCTGTATGAGGCTTACAGAGACATACATTTTACCTACTTGGAAATCAACCCACTCGGTAAGTAGCCACTCCTCAATGGAAAACATCCTCAAACATCCTTAAAGCAGAATTTGTGTAGGAATAATAAGAATTTTAATTTGAACATGTAGAACTAAATTGGTCAGTGAACAATTTTGATATTGTTATCTGATTGTTTTGACTTTTAAATTGCCATGTTGACAGTCACAAGAAAATCAAGGTGTAGTGATTCCAGTTGGGAAGCTGTTGAGGGTTGATTTTATTATGTCTTCATTCCGATTATAGTTTCAAACTCCTTCATGAGAAAAGATAACCATTGAGATATCTGTTTAATAAACAAGAATATAGTAGCCATGGGTTTATTTACCCATTCAAATCCTCATTGATATGTGATGTTAGAAGAAATATATTTGTGAAAATTTGGTAATTTGGTTTAATTAATGTAATTGTAATTATAAATTGTATCAAGGCTTATTGTGAAACAATAGAAATTAATTTCTGGAAATAATCACTTATTGTATAAAAGTATGGAATCTAGATTACCTGTAGAAGCTTATATTAATTTCTGTCTAATCTGTTGCATAAGTTTTTGTGGAATTGTAACTTGTTAAGATTCCACTGTAAAAGGCAATCTTTGCATGTAAGTGATATATATAACCTAGAGGGTCTGTAACCAAATAGGGTAACAAAAATAAAGATCATGATTCTCAAGATATCTGAAAAAGATTTTTTTTCTTTTTATGCCCATTGGTCAAAAGATAGGGGGCAATTGTTTTTGTGCTGTCTGTTTGTATGTCTGTCTGTTTGTTTGTTGTCAACTTTAACCTTACCCGTATGGCTTTCATGTTTGGCATGTGTGCTCCTTGTGACAAGACCTTTCCAATGGTGCCAAAATTTTTGACCATGTGACCTTCACAGTGACTTTTGACCTACATTTGAAAAGTTTTAACATTGGCCATAACTACCAAAATAAAACTGAAATCAATACTGCAATGAAGACAAAAGTGTTTCACAAAGTGTGCATGCAATTAGCACATACCTTACACAGTACAGTTATAATGTTCCACTTCAGAATTTTATTGCAACCAGGGGCCCAGTGTTTCATAAGCATATCTTGTTTTGTTTTGTCAGTAATTCTAATAAATTTATGAAATTTTGATTTCTTTGTAATGTTGTCTATCACAGTGTTTACGGAAGGGAAGATTTACATACTGGACCTTGCTGCGAAGATTGACCAGTGTGCTGAGTACTTGTGTAAAGCTAAGTGGGGAGAGATGTCCTTCCCACCACCATTTGGTAGGGATGCACTTCCTGAAGTAAGTTTCTTCCTCCATAAGTACCTTCTCAGTATTCACAACCCTACAAGAAAGTATTGATACTTTTGAGAAGCCAATGATATCAAAGAGCCTCTGGGCTTAGAATTCAATTTTGTTGTAATACAAATTCACGGTCACAAGAAATAACCAATTACTGTAAAGTTTGTGAGTTTTTCCCTGGGTACTCTGGTTTCCTCCCAATAGTTTACACATTTTCATCTAGGCCAACAAGAGTGATAGTTTAAATTTTCTTGTTTTTGACAAAAGTTAAACAGGGATATTTTTCACAGAAAATGATTAAACAAAAATTTCTCTGTCAATTTTATTTTAATAGTGTCTGTTTTCATTATTCTTTCTTATTCAGGAAAAAAAAGATTGAAAATATAACCCCTCAAAAATAAAACCCTTTCCAGTGTCATGTTACAATTTACGAGATTGATGGAGAACTTGAGACCAGCTGGGTTGTTTTATCAGTGTTATATCAGATGTCTACTTTTAGTTTGTTTTCCGATATTCCTGAAATATCTTTTTTATTTGTGTTTGTTAATTCTAACAGGAAGCGTATATTGCCGACCTTGATGCCAAGAGTGGTGCTTCTCTGAAGCTGACAATCCTCAACAAAAATGGTCGTATATGGACAATGGTCGCTGGTGGTGGAGCTTCTGTCATATTCGCGTATGTCACCACTTATTATTTCGGAAACAGGAGAGATGGGTTCAAATAAGGGAAAAAGAGCAAATTCGTTAAAATCTTTCTTCTGTCGGAGTCATTCAATATTGTCCAGATTTGATCTGAAGCATCCTTGGGTGAAAGGAACCTTTTTCAGTAAACAACACAGCTAACCTCCTTGGGGCAGAGAGGTGGGGTCAAATAATAGAGATAGAAACAAGTGTTTTAGATACTTTTCTTTTATTTCAAACTAATCAATTTCAGCAAACTAAACCTACTGATCAATACAGGCCCTTTGGGCCTCTTGTTTAATGAACGATGCATTACACTTGTGTTGCTTCCTTGATGTCAGAATTTAATCAGTGGTAAGTATGTTAATGTAAATGTTAAAAATAAGGAACATATACAAATTCTTATACAAATGTGTACTTCATTTTTTACCTTCATTTCCAGAGACACCATATGTGACCTTGGGGGAGCTCCAGAGCTAGCAAACTATGGTGAATATTCTGGTGCACCTAGTGAGCAACAGACTTACGAGTATGCAAAAACAATTCTTGGCTTGATGACACAAGAAACACATCCTGATGGTAAGTTTGAAGTTTAATAGTTCAAGTGAGTGGATCAACGTAAAGGATTACACCTGGAACAATGGCAGATGGATTAGAGATGTCACTATACATCCTCAATACTCCAGGGGTTACAATCACTTTTGCTCTCTGCACCCCTGAAACATTTCATGGAATAATTGTTCCATGTGTAATACCTTATGGACAAGACAAAAAGACTATGTGGTTGTTTGATCCATTGATGTACATCAAATGAATCTCAAAGTCACATAATGGTATATTGTAATGGCCTTTAAGTTGGGCATTGCTCCTTTGTAATCTTCAAAAGGAGCATATTAACCTGTGATTGGTCGGTTTTTACTTCTGAAACCAAACAAATTACTTTGCTTGTGCCTTTGATTTTGCCACGAAATGTTCCAGGGGTGCAGAGAGCGAAAGTGATCATAACCCCTGAAGTGTCGAGGATGGTCATTATATTGGTATTCGATAAATATGATCTAAATAAACATGTTTGTATGGCAAGATTATCACCCTAAAAACAGCCAAGGTGATTGTGGTGGTGGTGTTCGTGGTGGTGGTAGGGGAGAGGCAGGGGCTGCCTTGCATTAGCTGGTGACTATTTCACTAAACAAATCATCCACAATGATTAGGGTAAAGTTTCTTAACCATGAACATAACTACAACCACACTAAATCTGTTTGTTTCTCGGCTTCTTCAGAAACACAAACAACATTACAACCTTTTCCTGTTTCCATCCATGTAAGCCCTACTTTCCTCTGTTAATTGTACTGTTGTTACACCTAATCATTAATATTCTTACCCATGAAATTTATTGTAAACAGTATACAGACTAAAGCTATTGTTGTAGTAAACATTTATTGCTGATTGTTATTGTGCTATTTTCCAGGTAAGATCCTGATTGTCGGAGGAGGGATCGCAAATTTTACAAACGTTGCAGCCACCTTTAAGGTAGTTTACCAAATCAGTCCTGAGAATTTCAGTCATTGTAGATTGACAGAAGAAAAATAAATCTTTTACATTCTACTTTATGACTGGTAGAACTGACTATGATGAGTGAGACCTTAGCAGATTGAGAAATTTTCAGGATATCCTGTCCATGTTAGGAATTGTTCACTAACACCATTGAAACACTACAAGTCATTTTAAAGATTTTCTCTATTCAGTTGTTACCCTTTCTTTGTTTTATTTCTTGTGAATAGAGCTACATACATTCTAACAGCAGAGATGGTTGTAGGGTGTTCAAATTTTAAAAAAAAAATTGAATTTAAAAAAAAAAAAAACAGAAAAATAAAAAAAATAAAAGGCAAAAACAACAAAAAGTAACACCATATTAATTTGCTTTAAGTGAATGCATCAATTTTTATAACGGTTTATTATACATATATACATATGTACAGACTTAATTCCAAGTTTGGGATGTGACTTAAATATCACCAAATTATCATAGATGTTAAGGGGAGATAACACTTACCTGAAAAGTAACCAGAGACTGTACTGTAATGTCATGGACAGCTGTATGTGATCATATGTTGATTAAGGAGAGTGAAAAATTCATTTTCAGGGAATTGTGAGAGCATTACGCGAGTTTCAACAACAGCTGATTGAAACAAACACCAGTATCTATGTAAGGAGAGCGGGGCCCAATTACCAAGAGGGTCTGAGGATCATGAGAGAATTAGGTAAGGGTGAAGTTGTGATGATGCTAGGTTATGCATCGGCTGTATAGGATTTCTTAAAGGATTTCTGGTTAAATATTTATCATCATGAACTGTTTGATTCTATTTTTCTGAAGAGAAATTAATGAAATTTTATGCCATTTATATTTTTGTGTTTCAGGATATTTGCCTTATATTGATCAGTAGTAAGAGTATAATGTAGCGTGATCTTTTACTCACATTATGACAATATGAATATGATAATGTTCCTTTATGACTTCAATTTTACCCTTACCAGTTCATGGTGGGGATGGTTGGTATATACAGTATTACTTGTGTCCTTCCTGTCTTTTTTCGCCAGAAATTGTTGTTATTACTCTCGTCATGAACTGTTTGATTCTATTTTTCTGAAGAGAAATTAATGAAATTTTATGCCATTTATATTTTTGTGTTTCAGGGTTGTAAGTAAAGTGTAGTCTTACTTTATATAGAATGTTGTCAGATATTAACACTTAGATGAATTGGAGTTGGGAAAATTTCTGCTTTATCACATTTTCATATCATTGCCATCTCTATATAATGTTTCTGTATATTTTACCTCCAGGTAACACTCTAGGAGTGAAAATCCACGTGTTTGGACCAGAAACTCATATGACATCCATTGTCAGTATGGCATTAGGGAAACGAGAAATCCCAGATAACCCAAAACCTATGCAGACCACAGCCAACTTTCTCTTACCTACTGGCGGGGTATGTAGTTACCATAACAACAGCATTAAAAATAGACAGCTAGTTATTCTTTTGGTCATATAATGAGTCTAGATTAAATGAGAGGTGGTGTGATTGAGCAATATCTTCATCAAAGTCTTTATCATGTACAGCGATTGAAAACTGTATTTGTGATTTTTCATAAATGTCACTTTCCTTTATCAAGCAGAGACTGCACACTTCTTCCTAAAAATGATCATGTGAGATGTTATTGTGTTATTTTATTTCTAAATCTTTGTTATATCTAGTTTTTCTGTAGACAACTCTGGTACAGTTTTAATTTGAAATTAGTAGAATCCTTCAAAAACTTCCATAAAACTGATAATTTCTTTGGGGATGGTTAATATGTATGCTGCTGACAAAGGGCTCAATTGGCAAAGTACCTATGCAGATTTAAACAGTATTGGTTTAAATCTTAAGTCTCCTTCATATTTCAGTGCGGAATTTTGAAAATATGGTAAATCCATCATATATACTTAACAATATCAGGGAAGGAAATTTTAATAGTGTATAGAGTTTAAGGTGATTATGAGGGATTTCATATTGGTGTTGACAAGCACATAGAGTTTAATATTTATATGTATGGTGATTCCTCATTAACTTTGCGTGTCATGTCATATGTCCATGTCTTAAATTGTATAACTAGTAGATGAATGAACTGTCACAAGTTGTTTGGATAGTGAAAATATTACTCTGGGAAACAGAATAAGTCTTAGAGGAAAATTAAGTGGAGAGTTTCACCTTTTTCTGCAGAATATAAATCATTTTGTAGGAATCTTTTACACATGGTCCTGTTTTCATTGATCTGATATCTATAACACTTGACTAAAAGCTTATTCAATATGATTATTAAATTCAATATGACTCTTGTTTAAAATCCTTCATATGAACTTTACAGGAAATTTGGAATATTTGAACAGAAAACACTTATCTCAAATTACTCAAAAAACAAGAAAACAATTTTAGAAGGCAAAATAATATTGAGTGCTGAATTTTAACAAAATGATATTTAGTGATGACTTCAGGCAAAATAATAATGAGTATTGTATTAAGAAAAAGTAATATTGAGTATTAAATTAAGGAAAATAGTATTAAATTAGGCAAAGTAATATTCAGTATTGAATTTAGGCAAGGTTCAGTGTGGATTTTAGATAAAGTAGTATTCAGTGAATTAATACTGATAAAATAATGTTTAGTGTTCTTAAATTAACATTGTATAAGACTGTGTGACTGTGCAGCTTTTACTTAACTGATTTACTGTCTAACATCCTTCACTACCCACAAAAACAATGGACCTGATTTGATTTTGTGAACTAGAACAACCAATGTTCACAAAATAAGGGGAAGAAGGTTGAATAACAATGTGTGAAAATGTTATTAAGTGTGTAAACTTCTTGATATTGCTTACTCAAAAAAAACCAAAAACATATGTTTGTTGTCTTAGCTTAAATAACATCATTATATCATGGAAAAAAATTGAAATTTATTTTTAAAAAAGCAAGGAAAATATGTATTACAGATTATTTTGGAAATTTTTCCTTGAAACTAAAAACAAGACAAATCTGCAATTATAGGCTGTGCAAGTATCACCCTGCAAAACACTAAATTTTGCGTTTCTTATGATAGAATTGTTTCAGGGATGAATAATAGAGTAATTCCTAATCTTTGAAATGTGACAAGTATTTCTGTACATCTCGTATTAAAAAGTACTTACACAATTTATTAATAAGAAGGAAAATGCAAAACATGTGAAAGAACAAAATCTTTTACATGATTAGAACAAAATAATTGTCTACTACACACAAAGCAAAAAAACGAAAAAAATAGGAATGTCAAACATTAGCAAATTGTTTAATTTCCTTTTGGATTGTCTATTATATTATATATCATTATTATCTCCGTTTCAGTCAAAAGCTTCACTAGTAAGTGGCTAATAACCAGAAATTAAAAAAGAAGTGTTCAGTTATGTTGACTGAGATGTAAACCAGCATGTTGTTGGTAAATGTTGATCACTGATTTAGCTTTAGATTTACAATGGAATGTTGATTCATTTGAACACCACTATGATAAGATTTGTAAATGATTTAGAAAATTGAAGTATAGTTGTTTTGGCGCCTGGTTTAGTAGTATTACACAGAGCTGTTTAATATGATACGTAATTGAAATTTGAATATTTGACTCTGAAAGGAATGTGAAATTCAAAGAAAATTTCATCAATTGAAAGGATTCATTTTTATTTGAATAATCAACATTCTATTGTATTTTAATTGAAAATTGTATGTTTCAAATTTCATGTTTTGAAATGTAAATTGTGATTAGATTTAATTAACATTTAACCTTTGACCCTGTTTGTTTTGCAGGTTGTGCAGGTATACCATCAGCTTTTAGTATATAGCACTCTTTAGCTCTTTAACATGGGCATGCCTTTAAATTTATCTTTAACTTACCACTGAGAAGCCCATGTCTAGAAATAACCCCAGCCGACCCCAGTTTCTTTGTTATAATACATATTACAGGGGACAGGTCGTAGTTAAACACAAATGGATTTAATAAAGAAAAGATACACAATAGAACAACACCTGTTAATACAAAATTAGAGTTAGATACAATAGAGCTAAATAATAAATTAAATTGCATCAGTTGTTTCCTCATACATGGACTTGTCAGTGATGCAAGGGGCCTTACGTGTGTAAATCTTGAAATGCAAAACTGTAGAAACAAATATTGGGTTTAAGAAAAGGGGTGAGTGTGGGAGGTTTACTAACCCTATCATTAATGAATATTTAAAAAATTCAAAACTTGTTAAATTAAGTCCACTGTAAATGTGCCAAAATTTGATTAAATTCACATCTGACTTTAAAAGTGGTTTATTGGTTCATAGCAAAACATCAAGATCTACATCTGATACATTTATAGATTTCTCTGGTCATCAGTCAAGGTTAAAGGGTCAAGGATCATACTTAACTTAGAAAATCACACATACCCTTTTCTTATCATGGAATGAAGCATATCTAGATAGCAATGTCTTACATAGGGAATATTTTCAATAGGAAAGATAAATGAAGTTCAGGAAAACCCAATCTGAAGTGAATTGAAGAATTTTTCTTCTTTTTTTGTATGTTTTCAAATGAAACACTTCATGAATTTTATTAAACACAAAGGATCTATGATATTTCCTCTCCAAATTTATTGACAATTTTACCTGATAATATTATTTCCTTTGTAATGAAGTTAAAAACTTAAAAAATAAACAAGAAATGTGAATTTTTTGCCAAGAAAATTGGGTGGTAATATTTGTCGCTTCAACAAAAATTTTAGTGAAACTCAGCCCATCTTCATATCAATTCTGGAGTTTACTGAAGCTTTGTGTGTTATCATTTTTATCTATCTCCAAGAACTTAGGATGTTCCTCTGCCTGCTGTGGATAAAGTCTGTGTTGTAATTGTTGTATCATACTGTTTGGACGGTATCATTTCATTTATTCAGCTAGGTACTCCACAGAAAACTGCAGTCGAAAATACATAGTTTGACCATATTGAAATATACTGATTATATCTATTAAATTAACAAACTGAATATCTAATAAATTTAAGCTATTTCAGTAAATGTTAAAATGGTGGACTGCAGGATTATTAAAGATAAAATTAACCATTAGTCAAGTACACTGCATCAGTCTTGGGAGAGCCTTGCGTTGTGACACAATGCTGGAATGGATTACTGTTATGATCAATATGTATTTATATGTATGCTTTGGGTGTTGTGTTGCACGAAATGCTGCATGAGAAGCTGTTCATATTGCCTGTTTTCATTTCCCCCCCTTATTTTTAAGATATAATAAATATTCCCTGGAGGTGTACAACATACATTTTTAAACTTTTTTATGGTTAATACCAGGATGTGGCCTCAGAGAATAGCAAAAGTTGACAAATCCTCTTTTTAACCTCAAAAAAATGCTGATAGCCATTTTGTTATATAACACAGAACTAAAGATTTCCATATTGTACGAAAAACACACTACCAGAAACTGAGGAAATTAACTTATCAGAGATTAAACCTTAATCCCCAAGGTGCTCAGTTGTATTATCACAAGAGAATTATTGTAAGTTGTTGTAGCTCTAAAGGGCTCCTCTCATATCATCACAAGTGAATTATTGTAAGTTGTAGCTCTAAAGGGCTCCTCTCATATCATCACAAGTGAATTATTGTAAGTTGTTGTAGCTCTAAAGGGCTCCTCTCATATCATCACAAGAGAATTATTGTAAGTTGTTGTAGCTCTAAAGGGCTCCTCTCATATCATCACAAGAGAATTATTGTAAATTGTTGTAGCTCTAAAGGGCTCCTCTCATATCATCACAAGAGAATTATTGTAAGTTGTAGCTCTAAAGGGCTCCTCTCCTATCATCACAAGAGAATTATTGTAAATTGTTGTAGCTCTAAAGGGCTCCTCTCATATCATCACAAGTGAATTATTGTAAGTTGTTGTAGCTCTAAAGGGCTCCTCTCATATCATCACAAGAGAATTATTGTAAGTTGTAGCTCTAAAGGGCTCCTCTCATATCATCACAAGAGAATTATTGTAAGTTGTTGTAGCTCTAAAGGGCTCCTCTCATATCATCACAAGTGAATTATTGTAAGTTGTTGTAGCTCTAAAGGGCTCCTCTCATATCATCACAAGTGAATTATTCTAGTTTCTTTTCTGTTGTCCACTGAAATGCTATACGCTGTACAGGAATTCCTTATTTCGTTTGGACAAGTATTGTGTCTGCAAGTGGAGTGTTTAGCATAAATTCACCTTCGATCTCTTTGTGTATGACTGCCATACTTGGTAAATTCATACTATTAAAAAAATTTACTAACAATATGTTATGAATAAACACTACACCATTCTATATTCATTTTAAAGTCATTTGCTCTTAGATTTTTGCTTTATTTTCTTTTCTTTAAATACTCGAATTCAGTAAGGAATTTCCTTATTCTATCAACAAGGTTTATAACAAGATGATATAAAATTTCATGCAGGAAAAGATAAAAAATGGACAGCAAATTTCATCTCGTCAAATATTGTACAGATAGTGTGTTGTAGTTTTCTGATCAATCGTCATATTGTAGAAATGATGAAAGAAGACTTAATTATAGACATAGTTCATGGTTAGAGTAAAGGGGAATATACGAAGGTTTTGACAGATTTTCTGTGAAATATATAGAAAAGTATCATTATAATAGGCGTGCTTTCCATTTGTTTTAATGACATGGACAACTTAATGAGAATATTTATGTTTTTGTGTTATTTGAATAAGATTAAAATTGTCATATATTGTTTTTTATATATTTGTGCTTTTTTCAGAAAAAAATCTTGGTTCAGTAAGCCATATTCCAAACTGCTTATGATTTTTTTTCACAGACTTTTTGATTTCTGGTGTGAAAATTTACATTGTCATGTTAAGAGAGAAGGAACATTCACCTTCATGTTAATACGTTTCTCCATGGATGTATATATATAAATACAAGTCTAAGCCAAGAAGCTTGTTTCAAGCTTGTTTGACAGAATCAAATTTATCAACTTTGGATGAAGATTGTAAACTCACATGTTTTGATGTTTACAGCAGTCCCCCTCCAGTAGTCGGAGAAGTTCAGTGGTAGACCCTAAATCTCCATCGAAATCAGCCGACTCTGCAGGTGATACAACCAACACATCAGCCAAGCAGAGCAACACAGGTCCGTTGTTTACATACAAGACGAAGGCTATTGTATGGGGTATGCAGCAGCGCGCTGTTCAGGGTATGCTGGACTTCGATTATGTCTGCTCGCGTAAGGAGCCATCTGTGGTTGCCATGATCTACCCATTCACGTATGTTCTACAACTTGTATCTGTTCAGTGTCTCTAATTCAGTGTGATGCACCCTGATCTTCTATGACTTTCACAGTAGATTTAAACCACTGCATGTTAATTACGTCCTACAGTCAAATTACTACAAATATCTATAAAAAAATATTCAGGACAATCATGGCGTAATCATTTAAGAAATCTTTTTGAAAGGAAACACGTTTCATGATATTTGAGAAATGTTCTGGAAAGGAAACACGTTTCATGATATTTGAGAAATGTTCTGGAAAGGAAACACGTTTCATGATATTTGAGAAATGTTCTGGAAAGGAAACACATTTCATGATATTTTAGAAATGTTCTGGAAAGGAAACACATTTCATGATATTTGAGAAATGTTCTGGAAAGGAAACACATTTTATAGTATTTCAGAAACCTTTTGGAAAGGAAACACTTTTCTGGATTAGGTACCTTTCATCTTGAAAAAAACCCATTATGTATTGTAGTTATTTTGCTGAATAAATCTATTCTTGATAACAAGTCCACCAATATCTATTATACTTTCAGTAGTAAGCAAATGCTACACTATTGTCCTGTAATAAGCCCATCAACCAACCTTTGAGAAAATGTGGATGAGTTGATCCCCACCTGTCCACCCCTGGGCTTATAGCTTGATAAATATAACATGCAAGTTTTTCTGTTGGATTTTAGTGGAGACCACAAACAGAAGTTTTACTGGGGACACAAGGAGATCCTCGTACCAGGTATGACTCACCTTTATTCCAGGTAATGGCAGACTATAAGGCTGCTTAAAAATTCAGATAATTGGACTGAAATGTGTGAAAATCCAGGTAATGGAAGACCATAATGTTGTGTAAAAATCCAGGTAATAGAGACTACAATGTTGCATCAAACTCAGGTAATGGTGGACTATAATGTTGTGTAAAAGAGCAGAATAAAATGTGATTATGATAAATCAGAGAAGTCAACATGATACTGAATCTAATATGACAACATAACACACTAATGGTATTGTTTAATCTTTTACATCACAGTTTGGGTCTCCAGTATATGACCTTGACCTTCTTTCAGAAATATCAACATCTTATGTTTTCAGTGTACAAGAATATGGCAGATGCTATGGCAAAGCATCAAGAAGCAGATGTCCTGGTCAGCTTTGCATCACTCAGATCTGCCTATGAGAGCACAATGGAAACTCTCAATTACCCTCAGGTAAGTCCTGCCAAGGAAAATACCATGGAAACTCATAACTATCCTCTGGTAAGATGTGCCTTTGAAAGCACCATGGAAACTCTTAACTACCCTCTGGGAAGATGTGTGTTTTAAAGCACCATGGAAACACTTAACTACCCTCTGGGAAGATGTGTGTTTTAAAGCACCATGGAAACACTTAACTACTCTATGGTAAGATCTGTATTTAAGAGTGTCATGAAAACTCTCAAATATCCTCAGGTTAGATCAGCATAGGAGAATGCCCTTGAAACTCCTAACTACCCTCCAGTTCAATCTGCCTTTGAGAGAATCTTGTAGAACTAATCATCACTAGATACTAATAAATTGTTGTATCACAATCCCTGAAAATGATATGTGATGTGAAATACAAATTTTATTTCTAGATTCGAACCATAGCCATCATTGCAGAGGGAATCCCAGAGAATTTGACAAGGAACCTTGTCAAGAAAGCGATTGAGAATGGTGTGTCTATCATTGGTCCTGCCACAGTGAGTAGTGTTGTAACACTTAAATGTGATTGTGTGTAATCATATGACAAGTACATATTGTCATTATGTTACATTGTAGGTCACTTTAGGTCTTTAGTAGAGTGTTTTTCCTTGTGTAGTGTGAGAAACATTTCTTTCCCTTTGTTAAGACATACCACAGTCAATAAAAATTGAAAGTACTAGTTCTTGTTTAATGCTCAGCTTTATGGTTATGTCTTGTTTGTTGTTAGTTTAATGTGATGTCCTGGTTTGTGCCAAGAAGGATCATATGAAAATATCACAGCCTTCCACAAGTAAATTCACTCAGCATGTGTACTTAGCTTACATACACTAGGAGGCAATCCTTAAATTACCATAGCTTTAGACAGGAAGTTTAACTCAAAATCAATCCAACCATGCTACCTTTAAATTTAAAACAAAACCATTAAAGGGAACAACTTTTCATATTATTGTATCCAAGTTTTTAAAATGGTAGTTATCAAATTGCATGATTCAATTTTTTAACCAAAAAAATAAAAAATAAAATTACAATAGTTCTGGGTTATCTCCCTTCATGTGTAACTCTTTGCCTCCTGTCCTAGGTTGGTGGTGTGAAGCCAGGATGTTTTAAGATTGGTAACACTGGCGGTATGTTGGACAACATTTTAGCATCTAAATTGTACAGACCAGGCAGGTAAGTGATGGCAGATATATATACTTCACCAACCCAGTTATTCAGTGTCCGTCATTAGCAAGATGCAACTCAGCCATCAGAATTCTCACAAATGTTCTTTTCTATTAACTCCCACACATCTGAGTAATTTACCCATGCCAATGATCAGGCATGTTAAGGGGAATATTTTAATCATCAATATAGATAATAATATTGTTTCTCGATATCTTGTTCAGATTCAGAAGGGTCAAGTATTCAATCTGCAACATGTGAATCAAATCTTATTTCTTATTTCTCATCTGAATTAAATATTCGTTTACTCCCACGCTGATCAATGAAAATATTTCAAACTTAAACTGATGAAATTCAGATAACTCTCCTTAATTTTGTTTATGTGAGTTTTCTTTTTAAATTCAAATTAGTAAAACATCTATTGCAACTGAAACTTACATGTGTTAGACATTCTGTGTTACTCCATACTGAGTCATTAGAAAATCTACCTAGTACTCAAACTTGTACTAAACAGATAACCCTTGCAACTTTGCACTGGAAATATCTTTCTAAATTAAAGTATGAGTCAAAGATCCATGTTGGGGTCATTACAGGACAATAACACAGGAGGCCAACTGCTACCTCTGACTCAGTCTGGGGGGAGGGGGCAACATATTGCCTCTTACTCAGGAAATGAGGGTCATCACGTGACAAGAAGTCTTGGGAGCAACACGTTGCCTCTAACTCAGGAGATGGGGGTCATTACAGGACAATAAGACCGTGGGGCAACACATTACCTCTGGCTCAGGAGATGGGGGTCATTACAGGACAATAAGACCGGGGGGCAACACATTACCTCTGGCTCAGGAGATGGGGGTCATTACAGGACAATAAGACCAATTCTGGCTCAGGAGATGGGGGTCATTACAGGACAATAAGTCTGGTGGGCAAGACAGACATTACTTCTGATGTAGGAGGTTGGGTCAATATAGGACTATAAACCCAAAGGATTCAACAGATTTCTTCTGACTCCGGAAGTTAGAGTCATTACAGGGCAATAAGCCAAGGGGGCCAACACATTACCTCTGACGTAGGAAGTTGGGTCACCACAGAATAATAAAAACATGGAAGGGGAGAGAGGGGAGCAAGGAAATGACATCTGACTTAAGAGTTGGGAATACTCATAAAACTGTATGCCCAGTTAGTTGTCAGGTACACCTTATTAATTCTTAGGTTACTATGATAACGACTTGATTGTCAGGTTACCATGGCAATGGCTTATTGATGGTCTGGTACTGCTGTAACTTTAACACAGATCCATGAGAAGATGTCCAAGAAACCGAACACAAATATTTCTTATGTCTTTCTGAAGTCAAACTTGTATATGACAAATTCTCAAAACAGTAAATAAGTCAACTTAATATTGTTTTCTTTAAAAAAAATCCTTGGTATTTTTTAGATTTAACTGTGTAGTTGGTATAGAGTGTAACTGTTATATTTTACCTGATGATGTGACAGTTATATCAAATGTATTCCTTCTCTAGTGTGGCGTATGTCTCTCGATCTGGTGGAATGTCCAATGAGCTGAACAACATCATGGCACTCAACACAAATGGCGTGTATGAGGGAGTGGCTATTGGAGGGGACAGGTCGGTGGTCAGTGAAGTCAAGAAATTTGACACATTTGTAATATTGATCTTATTTTATGTCAAAACAAATGAGTACACAAACATGTTATACTACATGGAATAGATTATTTTACTAGCTTATTATAAAGATAATGAGTTAAGTTTCCTGACAGTTGAAAAACCCATGGAATACAATCTACCAAAATGAACGTTATGTAAATTATCACATTTTAAAATTTGAATTATCAATTGATTATTCAAACTTAATGAATGATAAGAATAAATTGTTTTGTCTGTCTTCATATTATTGTGGTTGTGATTGATAGTACTTGATAAATTCCAAACAAAGTATTATAATTTGCTGGAATTCTAGTTGTATGCACTCTTAATGAAGGAGGGGGGTCTACGCCAGTCTTAATGATGATAATAGCACTATGAGCTTTGAACAACATTCAACGTTTATCTTGAGGAATGAAAAAGCTTGTCCTAAATTTCCTGTACACTTCAAGATTGAAATCTAACTTCCTTTGTTCCTACAGATATCCTGGGACAACCTTTATGGATCACATACTGCGATATCAGGATGACCCAGAGGTCAAAATGATTGTCCTTTTGGGAGAGGTAAGAAATGACACAATGTCATTAATTCTTAACAGTACATGATTAAAAACAACTCTTGAATTATCAAAGTAATTCTCATGTTTCTAGACCATACCACTTTTACGTTTTTGGACCTGTTATTTTACAGCAGTGGGTACAGTGTAATCCATATTTGTCTCAACCTGTTATATCCCAAATGGATTTCATTACTCTACCAGTGAATTAATTTCATCAGGAATTTCAAGTTATCTTTGTAAAAGGTCGACCAGGGCTCATTTTGTGTTACAAGGTTGAATAGTGAAGGTCAAAGTTATTATAGATAGATAATTGTCAAATATTGATACTTACCATGATAACACATGTATAAACATACTAAATTTGGACCAATCAAATCAGATCCTGTTTTTAGCATGTAATCATCAGATGATGGGCTCTTCAAATCGTCCTTTGTCTGTGGTCCATTATCATTGTTATGGCTATTTCATGAGATGTGCTGGAGGAATACTGCTTATACTTGATGTATATGTTTTCCTTTGTTCTTATTTGTGTGCAGTTCGTTTTGAAAATGATTAACGAAGCAAAATGGCTTAAACATATCTTAATATAAGTCATCAGAATGAAGAATATCATTATTGTGTCATTAATTCTTATTTCATTGATGTTTTTGGTGTTGAGTATCATCCTCTGTATTGTTTGTTTTCTGTAGGTTGGTGGAACAGAGGAATATCACATGATCAATGCTATGAAAGAGGGTCGCGTCAACAAGCCAGTGGTTGCCTGGTGTATAGGAACCTGTGCAAAGATGTTCACGTCAGAGGTGAGTGTTTGATGTCTAGCGGTCGGGTAATTAGAAACAAAGCTTGCGCACATGTGATGGTGTAAGGAATACAGGATGCATTCACATACGTCAAGGTGATTGAACATATGATATGTAGAGAATACAAATGAGGCATGCACATGAATACACTCGTATGTGAAGGTGATTAAACATACATATAGAAATGAAGGGAACACATGGGGCTTGAAAAAATTTAGAAGTGTATGGAACACATATGAAGCATACATATATATGAAGGTGATTGGACACATGCGGCATGCATACATGTAGATGTGTAGTGAAAACATGAAGCATAAACAACAGGTATATGGAACATATATTAGGAATACGCCCATTTGATGATGTACTGGCACTTAGTATTGTATTTTAGTAATAACACCAGATGACATTTATGTAGCATTGTGGTAAGTTTTCATTTTTTGGGTTTTTTTTTGGTTTTTCTTGTAGTTTCCTTTAAATAAACCAACAATCAGAATTGATTCTCTAATTGTTTTTCATCTACAGGTCCAATTCGGCCATGCTGGAGCATGTGCTAATGCTGAATCAGAGACAGCTGATGCTAAGAACAAAGCCTTGAAGGCAGCAGGAGCTTTTGTACCTCGTAGTTTTGATGAGCTGGGGACAGTCATCAAGTGAGTGTTAAGGAAATGTAAACAAAGATCATAGAAATACACATCTTCAGTTTACTGTTCAACTTTCAAAGACATTATAACGATGAAAACTTATTGTCCTATATAGTTTATGTACTTTTCAAACTTTCCACTTTAAGGGAAGTGTATGAAAGTCTTGTTGAGGATGGAATCATCATACCACAGCCAGAACAGGCTCCACCCACTGTTCCTATGGATTTCACCTGGGCCAGGGTAGGTATCAACAATATCAGATCTGGGCCAGGGTAGGTATCACTAATACCAGATCTGGGCCAGGGTAGGTATCACCAATATCAGATCTGGGCCAGGGTAGGTATCACCAATACCAGATCTGGGCCAGGGTAGGTATCACTAATACCAGATCTGGGCCAGGGTAGGTATCACCAATATCAGATCTGGGCCAGGGTAGGTATCACCAATATCAGATCTGGGCCAGGGTAGGTATCACCAATATCAGATCTGGGCCAGGGTAGGTATCACTAATATCAGATCTGGGCCAGGGTAGGTATCACTAATACCAGATCTGGGCCAGGGTAGGTATCACCAATATCAGATCTGGGCAAAGGTAGGTATCACCAATTTCAGATCTGGGCCAGGTTAGGTATCACCAATATCAGATCTGGGCCAGGGTAGGTATCACTGATATCAGGGCTGGGCCAGGGTTGGTATCACCAATATCAGATCTGGGCCAGGGTAGGTATCACCAATATCAGATCTGGGCCAGGGTAGGTATCACTAATATAAGATCTGGGCCAGGGTAGGTATCACAAATATAAGATCTGGGCCAGGGTAGGTATCACTAATATCAGATCTGGGCAAGGGTAGGTATCACCGATATCAGGTTTCATCTGCTGTTGCTATGACCTTCACCTTGGTCAGTTTAAATATGGCTTATAACAGACTCCTTCTATTGTCCTGATGGACTTTACCTGGTCCAGGTTAAGTATCATTGATACAGGCATTCCTACTCCAAAATTCAAGCTATGCTACTTTCATTGGTTTATAAATTGTTTATTTTCTAATATTGAGTTCACTGGTTCTGATGTCAATAACGTCAGTCAGGTTTTATTTTCTGTCATTTAGGAGCTTGGACTGATTAGGAAGCCTGCATCTTTCATGACAAGTATTTGTGACGAACGTGGCCAGGAGCTGTTGTATGCTGGGATACCTATCACCGACATTTTCAAGGAGGACATGGGTATAGGAGGTGTCCTTAGTCTGCTGTGGTTCCAACGCAGGTAGTTACCAAAGATTCTGTTACACGTCTAGATAAATTTATATAGTATAACTTCCCTAACTGACCCTACTCAAAATCAATTACCTCATGATGCTGTACAAAATGCTGATGTATTGAATGGTTTCCTCTTTGTCATATAAAAAAATTTGCATTGATCCCTCTATAGTTCCAAATACGAACAATGTTTGGTTGGTTTGGAGAAGTTCCATTGTATTACTGTATTTATCCACTAATAAGCCCATGCCTGATGATAAGTCTACTCATACTTATTGCAGTTAAATAGAATTACAAATAACACCATTTCAGTCTTCTGACAAGCCCACACTTGTAAAACAAGATATCCTTGATCAGTCAATTTTTATCATTTCCTGAATTTCAGTGCATTTTGAGACTTCAAAGTAAGGGCATAGAAAGAAATTCTTATTCTGCAAAAATTATTTTAATAAAAAAACATATACCTTGTAAAATCTTTGAATGAAACAATGAAATCTTTGAAATTACATGTTGTTATGAATGAGATAAAAAAAATTTGTACTAATCTCCTTTTTCATTGTAAGACTACCCAAGTATGCTACCAAGTTTATCGAGATGTGCTTGATGGTAACCGCCGACCACGGTCCAGCAGTGTCTGGAGCTCACAACACCATTGTGTGTGCCAGGGCAGGCAAAGATCTTGTATCCTGTCTTGCCTCTGGATTGCTGACCATTGTAAGTTGATAAGGTTGAAGAAGTCAATGTATGTTTTTATTTAAAATGATGGGAATGACAGTTATAGACAGAGAGAATAGCTCTCAGTCCTTTGTTTCTTTTTTTGTTTTGGTTTTTTGTGTTCTTTTTTTTGAAGTCTTGCTAAAAGCTCACAGTAAATAGGATGTATTTTTCAAAGGGGTCATAAAATGGACAATATTTTCTCTATGAATTTTTGGTGTCATGGTATTCATTTCATGAAATTTTATTCTGTCCTCAAAAATAACGTAAGGATAGAATGAAATAACAACAACTTTCACAGTCTTTGCAGAGAAATATATTTTTTAGTTTTAATGTGTATATTCAACAATATACTGTTCAGCATATCCAGTTATATCCATAATTATATTATCCAGTTGAAAAACTTATTAATATAACTTAATTACACATATGAATTGAATCCATCAGTTACATTTCTTGCTGTCAGGGAGACAGGTTTACATTTCTTGTGACTTGTATTTTGCTGTCAGGGAGACAGGTTTGGTGGTGCCCTTGATGCAGCAGCAAAGCAGTTCAGTGACGCACATGTCAGTAAAATGATTCCCATGGAATTCGTAAACACAATGAGAAAGGAGGGGAAACTCATCATGGGCATCGGCCACAGGGTCAAATCGGTGAGTAGGTCATAGTGCACAAAGTCAAATACTGAAGTTACAGAGTGAGTAGGTCATTGATCTCTTCTCTTAATTGTTGAGGTTACACTGTCCAAAAGATAAGAATGCCATCAGTTTTAAGTTTAAAATGGTAAAGATAAAGTTAAGGTATGCTCAAAGTCTCTATTTAAGTGTGGTCAATCTCAAAACAAATATATGTTGAGATTTTTTAATTCAAAATAGTAAAGTCACTTGCTCAAAAAGTAATGTAAAGGACAGGGTTTAAATGTTACTAACATCAGTGAGAAGATCAGAGTAACAAGAGTGAGATCACAAGTGAAAGTTATCTCTCTTGTCAGATCAACAACCCGGACATGCGTGTTGTGATCCTGAAGGACTACGCCAAGAAGAACTTCCCAGCCACACCTCTTCTGGATTATGCCATTGAAGTGGAGAAAATCACAACATCAAAGGTTTGCTTTATATCAGCTCTACCGTCTTCCATCATGTTACAGTGTCTAAAACCTGCATTATTTTGGTACATAATTCAATGTGTGTGTTAATTTTGTTTTGAAAAACAATGGTGGACGTTTTTTTGCAGAACAATTAAGCTATTTTGAATGAAAATTTTAAACAACAAAGTAAATTAAAAAATTCTGTAAAAATTTTAGCAGGAAGTATGTGCAAAAAGGGTAATTAAGACATGTTGGAGTTGATGAAAGTTTTCCCATTTATTGGGGCTTCAGATTTATATGTTGATAAAATCAATTTTATTTTGGAAAAAAATTAAATGTTTAATGAATTAATGATTTTACTGATCATCTATTTTTTATCTTTCAGAAACCGAATCTCATCCTTAATGTTGATGGGTTCATTGGGGTAGCCTTTGTCGACTTACTGTCAAATTGTGGCTGTTTCACCAGGTAGGTTTAACGTATCACTCACATTGAAACTGGAGTAAAAGTTTGATTTTTTCATGAAAATATGGTCTATCTGTGTTTTGGAAAAGATAAAACTTATACAAAAATAACTTTAATCATTGCAAAATGCCAATAAAACCTGACCATTATGTAATCACAAGATAAAACCTGTCCAATATGCAATCACAATATATGTCATTGAGTGATACAGTCTTCCTGTTTTGATATCTGATTAATTTCATCTATATCATAATTCGATTACAGACATTATATTAGCTTTCATTTTAGGCAATAATTGTCTGACCTATTTATTCATAACCAACATACTTTATTCATGAGATGATAAGCCCATGTCCAATGATAAGCCCACCCATATTTACTGCTCTTTAGTAGAATTTCCAATAAAGTCTGTCTTGCTTTCCTCTGTTAAACCTACATCCTGATCTTAAACTTTTGTTTTACCTTGGACTTATTACAAGGTAATGAGATTGCCTCATTTTGAATGGTCAGTCACCTCAATAGTAAACATTATTCAATATCATTTTTTCAGCTTATAGAACATGTGTCACAGAATTGGATTTTTTTTTATCCCCTCTTGAATCTATTGAGGGCACTGCATTTGTTTAGGGGTTTGTTTTTTGCCCTACGTCAATATTTGGTACACTTAATGTTTACATCTGTTGGTTTGTGTTGTAGTGAAGAGGCGAGAGAGTTTGTGGACATTGGGGCTCTCAACGGATTATTTGTTTTAGGACGCAGTATGGGATTTATTGGTAAGTCACCACAGAAGGTAAAACATTCAGTATGGAAAAAACAAAAATTTTTTTTTTTTTTTTTTTAAAACTGCCATCTGATTGGTTTATATAGAAGGTTCCTTCGTTTATGATTTTCATTGGATAATATATTTCAGACCTCTGTCCTCCTATTGATTCTGATTGGTTAATATTTCAGGCCACTTCCTGGACCAGAAACGATTAAAGCAAGGGCTATATCGCCATCCATGGGATGACATTTCCTACATCATGCCAGAAACAATGGGACTGATGGGTGATCGCACAGATAATGTGTAAACAGGTCATTGGCAGTGATGAATGGGGAAAAAATACAACATTTTCTAATATGAATGAACAAGATGGAAAACCTTATTAGCAACAAAAATAAATTCAAGTGAAAACTTGACAAGTTAAAATACTGTACTCAAAGAAATATGGTGTCTTGTGGTGTAGATATAATTAGTTGAAAAATGATGATGTGGACTCCTGATGAAGACTAAAAGGGCCTGTAACATAATCTCTGCTACTATTGTATGAATAGTTATTGGCTAGGTAATGTAAAATCATTGATTTTCCTCAGATTTTAATTTTTCCCAAGTTTCTGAATCCATAAACTCATATGTTAATGTGTAAGTAACCTCGTTAAAAGTTGATGTGAATTTTAGTAGAATTCGAGAGTACAACTTTTATTCATGAAATACTCTCAGTTGTTTTGAAGCCACCACAAAAAATTATAAATTTTTGATAGGATTGTTTCTGAATTCCAGAGGGAAGATTCAAATGCAACCAATCACCAGGCTCTGCAACTTAATAATCTTTCCCCAGATGTTGAGATCTATCTCACCCCTACTGGTATAGATAATTGTTAAGTTGCCATTGAGTTGCTAAAAGTGTTTAATTTTTACTAGACAAACAATAATCTCTTATTGTTGTAAATACTGGTATGGTATTGTTTTGTAAATATATATTTAAGAGGGGAAAACACTGCAAAAAAGACTGCCAATTTTTTTTTTCTTTTTTTCTGTTGCTAAAAGTAGATTGCTGCTTTTTAAATTGATGTTGAAATACTAATGTCAAATGAGAAAGGTATGAAAAAGCATTCAAGATTTTGTTTTAAAATGAGAGTGTGGAAATTTTATAAAAGATTTTGTGTATATTCTGAAAGCAGGTCATATAGGGGACCTTTATTGAGATTTTTGTTTAAACAAAAGCAATCCAGATTGAATCATCAGTCAGGGTGTCTTGAAATAGCATCTTGTTATTAGAAAGACCAATAGTATAATATGTAGTATTGTTCGTTTGATCTGTCAGGTGACAAATGGTTGATCTGGTATGTATTTTGTTTGTGATGTTATTTTCCTTTGATCTCTGATAATAAAAACTTCGTCAGTGTTTGGAAATCACATTCTTTGCAACTGTTTTCTTCCGACTTTCTTGTTGTAAGTTAATATCAAAAGTTTATATTGAAGTGAAATATTTATGACTATCAGTTTTTTTTGCCGAGATTACAAAATTTGAGTATTTCTTTTAATGATATTACAATGTTCCATTAAAAGTATAAGCAAAAAAAACTTGAAATATCAAATCACAACCTCCTTTTAATTCAGTAAGTGTTGTACAGATACTTCAAAATCATGAATTTTTGTGGGAGATTTATTTTCTTTAGATTTGCAGTTACCTTAAATACACAAATTTATATGCCCACCATATTATAAAGGGAATAAAAAATGATATGGCTAGTGGATTTCATGAGTAAGATTCAACTGTGAAATGTATATTTTTGGCAAACCACAAAATTTCATTCCCACAAATATATTATATTACAGTATATAATACCATTGTTTCAGTCTCATGTTATTTGGTGCTAATAACAACAAGATACAAGCGTTGTATTTGTCAATAAGCCCGGTAATTTGTCCACATATACTTATTATAGATTCAATAGAAATGCAAACACATGTTTTGGTTATATTCCAGTAAAATATCTACCTGATCCCAAATATCTGTCTGATCTCAAGACTCTACAGTTAAACCCTGGTACAGTTTCCTGTCTATTACTTCTAAGGAAGTTATCAATTAAGTTTTGTGGGCAGTACCCCTAAACAAATCCTTGAGTCCTGGATAGGGAAATTAGATGTTTTACTGGAATAGTCGTGATATTGTTGTCTTGTCATAAATCCATCCCCTTCTTGTTATCAGAGTAGTGTATCAGAGATTCATTTTAGTTGCAGGAAACATTTCAGTATTTGAAATAAACTGTACAACAGCAATAATGAAGTGGAATATATGAAGTTTGATAAGGAGTCAAGAGTGCTACCCACTTTAAATTATTTCTTTGGGAAAATTTGCGAAGATTTCACCCATTATGCCTCATGCATTTTTGCTTGTTTGGAACAATAGATTGCATTTTTGCTTGTTTGGAACAATAGATTGCATTTTTGCTGCGCACAAATGTCTATTTATTGAGCCCTATGTATGCTCTACTCACTATAGTGTCATCACACTTTGATTGTTATGTTCTGTTTTTGGTAAGAAAGAAAGTTCATGAAACTTTTGGTGCAAGAAAAAGTTGATAAGGAGTCAAGAGTGCTACCCACTTTAAATTATTACTTGGGGAAATTTGCAAAGATTTTACCTATTATTGTGAATTTAGAGAGTCTGTATATGTCTCATGCATTTTTGTTTGTTTGGAACAATAGATTGCATTTTTACTTCGTACAAATGTCTGTATTTATTGAGCCCTAGGTCCAGAAGACTAGCACATTACCTCAAAGTCAGGTAACAGCTGTGTCAGTATTATTGGTACTTCTTAGACAAATAAACAAGCTTATTACTGTTCATCCAGGGGCTTATTGCCATACAAATATGGTTTGTCAGATATTTTGAGAAATTATTTATCAAATAGATGTGGCAGTTGATTCTATATCATTTTGAGTATAGTAAATTGAGATGAGGTGTTGAGGCATCAGAATTAAGGTGACATAAATAACATATGAACTAGAATATACTGTGGTACCTGATTGGATGTGAACGGATTAAGAATGATAACAGTATTGTTGTTTTATTTCTTATTTATCTCATAGAATGCAACATTCTGATATATCATATTTACCTTTTTGTTTGTCACTTTTTTTTTTTTTTTTTATTTTGTTTTTTTTGCTACTTTTCCTACATATCATAAATGACAATAATCTTTTGTGCAATTATCATTATTTATATATACATCTTTAATATACCTGCTCTCATTTTCCATAATTGCTACCAGGCATCACTTTCTGAAGTTAAAAAAACCTGGAATCACACATTTCAGTATGAGTGAATTCCTAATACTGAAGTTCAATTTATACATAAAACTTTCCTTAAAAAAAAACTGAAAAAATCGTTTTAACAGGAATTCTTTTTCTTTTTTACATCTTTATGCCTAACAAATACTATGTTCGTAATCTAAAACACACCTTAACTTTGAACTGACACGAGGTATTTTTGACAAAGTACTAGTGAAAATAATTAAGTCCTTGGCACCTAGAACTTTGGATTACAGTCAAAGGTAAATCTCTTGTAGGAACAGAGTAAACTGACCTTCATCTTCTATTGTCAGTGATTGTGTAGGCTATTTAGGACTGGGATAATTTGAAAGATTTACTTTAATGAATGAAAATAACACTGTCAGTTTTAAGGAGAGACATGATCCAGATTAGGTTTTAACCAATTTCGTGAGGATCAGGTACCGAGTACCTCAGGCTATTCAGATTGAATCTTAACTACGTGTAATGGAGAAAATCTAGGTATTAATGAGTAGACCTCCCAGATAACATTTATAGTTTTAAATTAAAGAGTTTTGGTTGACATAGCAGATCTTGTTTAAAACATTGTCATCTTTCTATTTTTATCATTTACACCTATATAAAGCTTACTACTAATATTTATCTCGTTATTTGTGATTATAATTATATCATAGATAATTATGCAAATATTTGTCTGTCAAATCAATGTACATGAATTATTTATGAGATATTAAACGGAAAATTATCTGTGATTTGTTGTATAGCGATGTTCATATAACCTTCTATATATATATACATCTCATTCAAAGTGGGATGTTTCCGGTATACAGTAGTAAATTCCTAACAGGATTTTTAAAACACCTATAATTCAATGGTTTTTTCCAGAATGAACATATAATATGACACAAGTGTAAATTTTTCACGTCAATATATCTTGTCATCCTGAACATTCTGTCTCTAATGTTATTTATAATATGAAATTTTATACAGTAACATGATATTATATCCTTATATTAACATTTGCTGCAGTATCTAAAGCTAAACCTGGTAAATTCTTCTCTAGGTTAGGAGATATTGCTTCTATCGGAGACCAGACGAAATAAACATGCCTATTGATATTGCTTCTGTAGGAGTACCTCTGTGATGTTAGAATGAACAAACAAGATGGTTTCAGAATTTTCATTTCATTTTTGTTTTTCCATCCAATGTTTTTGGAAATGTTCAAAACATGACCACCATAGACTCCTTAAAGTCTTTGCAAATATACAATGAATATTTAAATTTTATATCGATATCGTTTCAAAGAAAATCAAAGGAGACTTGATCGACCTGTCTATTCCACTAATTAGCCTTGAAAGTCAATGATAAATGTTTTGTCGAAGATTTCTTGTTATTATTGGCTTTTAAACGGTAAATTTCTTCATGTTTATGGTCCTTGTAGTCAATTGCTGACAAATCAGCAAAATTTGTATTCAACCCTGCACCTACTCTGAGGACCATAAGTTCAATAACTGTTTAATGCTAAATTAACTTGTTCCCTGTATGAAATTTGTCCCAACATCCGAAAAACATGCATCTCAGCTTTTTTAACAACAATCTTTATAGCCCACTTTTTATTTTTGTCCAGAAATGGTAGATTTGATACTGAAGATGTCCTCTGCTACATCCAGAACTATTTCCTGTATGTCGTTGTCTTATATCCACTAGATCTGTCTAAATATCTCTGTACCAGGGTCTTCTCTTCACCACTGGTTTGTACTTAGTATTTGTAAGTAAACAAAGAGGGTATTACAAACACATGTGCATGTACAATAAAATTAGGACGAAAAAGAATGTTTTTGTTTTCATTTGCCATGATATGCTGACAAGTTTTTATCCTTGTCCAAGATTTTGACAGGATGTATTATGGTATGGCTGTCTGTACGTTGTTAATTTGATCAAGATAATTCATTTTCTTAACTTTGATAGTCATTTACATATATAGGCATCTTACAAACCAAACATCAAGACTCTAAACCTTGTACATCTTCAGAAGAAGATTCTTAAAGTTTGCTATTCAAGATAGCGTTTTTGAACTTTGACCCTGTAACAAAAACCAGCTAAGTTCTTATTAGCAGAGTGTAGTTTGATAAAATCACTCACCCATGACTGGCCCCATCCTACATGTGGGCTCTCGTGCCTTCAACTCTATAAGCGCTAAGGGGACGTAACACATGATATACAGTAGAAATACTTGCATATGCATGGTAATCATGAAGCGTCCCAAGACACTTACCTAATTACTGCGAGAAACTAGCGACACCAAGAGATATTGTTAATATGATTCAAATCAATCCTTAATCCAAGGTTTATGTTGATATTTGTAATTTTTTTCAAGTTACGAAGATTACCCTTGATCGTCGAAGGTAACACTTGAGACTAGCGGAGCAGTAATCTTGTTAGGATTATAAGAGAAAATTTATCCTAGTGTCAAACTTCATTTCAGTGTCATGTTACGACTTCTATCAGGGACCCATATTAACATATAAATGTCTTGTTTTTATACCGCACACCTAATAATATTATGCATTACCTAACCAGGTAATTAAGCGGGAATAAAATTCCGCTAAAGATGATTTATGAAATGTTTGAATTTGTCAAGATGGATTATAATTTGAGTTGGAATTTTGTAATGGTTGATTGCGTGAAAAGATTACGGAATGTTTTGAAACCTATTGTTGGGGGTGACAAAATGACGCCAGTACAACCTAAAGAATAGTTCTGGATCAACTCCATAGTGATATGCAGCCCCAGAATTGCCATGAACCGAGGTATCCACCACCATGCTCGTGCTCACGACTTTGGGTCCATTGTTGCCGCTGAAGTCCCCAGGAAAATTCTTAAATCTCGAGATGTATATCAATATATCTGGCCAAACGTTAATACCAGAGTATTGTAACACTACCTCAAACTACAGGAAAAAACTTTATATTTTAATCTACCGTTATATTCTTTCAACGTCTCTGTGAATAACTATATGGATCTTTTAAATAATAAAAAGGAACCTACATTTTTACGAAAATCAAACTGCATTCATTCAAAACATGTTAAAAATGGAGCAACAATTCTGTAATATATTATCAAAAGAGGAAATACAGAGCATCATTTAAGTATGCATTTACTTCACTTGATGAAATATGCAACAAGACGAGAGTTCCAGGTAGGCAAATGCAGAGATATGTCATAATACATCCTTGATATTTCAGGGGTTACAATCACTTCTGTTCTCTGCATCCCTGGAACATTTCATAGCAAATTGAAGGTTCAATGTGCGACATTTTCAGGATAAGACGAAAGATTAGTGCGATCCTTTGAGGTACATGAAATGAATGTTGAGGTTGTGTAACCATATTGTAATGGCTTTGAAGAATATGCAAAATTTCTATGTTTTTTTAGATCTTCTAGTAGAATTTATAATAATCCTGGACTAGTTGTCGTACACCTATCATACACAACAAAAACATTAGTCAAACCTCAGATATGGAGTATCATGGTGAAATAGGACAAGACACGGTAAATGGAAAATCAAGTGGGTATGAAAAATTAACGAGGCCAGGATTTTCGGACAAATTTGCATCTTTCAGTCTGAATATGATAATTCGGTGTTGCTTCAACAGATACTGACTAAACTTCTAGTTGTTTACTTAGTTCATTTTCATTTAGACACCTCTCTCCCACCTACATTGGTGTATATACAGGAATCGGCTTGTTTGACTTTATCAACGGTGACCTAAACACTCATCAATGGTAAGTTATGTTCATGAAAAGTTTTGCTATCTATTACAAAATGGCCTGTGGCTACCATGTTAAAGCTTTGATTAGATGGAAAAATTAAAAAACCCGTAACAAATTAACTCCAGACATTTTTCTCAATGGTGTGAATGAATTTTTAATAGTTCAGACTAATCAACTCCCTGGATTTAAGAAATGATTTTCCATCCACAATGATGGTTCAGACCAAATTTAGTTGAAATCCGCCCAGGCATTTAGCAGTAGTAGTTTTTTTTATATATGGGAAGGTTTACAGACAGCAATGCACGACACATGATAGCAACGGGTCATCTCGACTGGCCAATTGGGCAAGAGATGAAGCTGAAGATTAAATTGAGTAAAATGATCACTACCACACCATAATACTGTACATTTTTTTTTTATTTAGAATCGCAGCTTCTGGAAAAACCATCTGTTCTTTCCAGTCTTGTATCTGAAAAAAAAAAAAAAAACAACAGGGTAACAGTTAAGGTTAAGCAAGATATAGAGTTTTTGGAAAAAATGTATTCTAATCCACTTAAACATTCATTTCTATATATTGTAACTGGAAAGGCTGCCATTTTACAGTCAGGAGAACTTATTACACTTATTTGGGATCAAAGATAAAGATGCTGTCACATTGTAAAGACTTACCTTTCCTCAAACTTAGCCTTGACATCTCGCCTAGCCTTGCGTTTAAGAGCTGGGTCCCTGAAAGCATCTTTGTTGACAGAGGATTTGTCCAAGTTCACATCAACAGAGTATCTGGAAAAATATCAAGTATCAAAAATCACTCATTTGACCACAGACTGTCTTTAACATCAATTAGTTTGTGCACCCTACACAATACTAGTTAAAAGCCTGCACTATCAATTCAAATATTGACAAAAATACCACCTACTTACACTTACAGGTAGAGATTTTACAAATGTCTCAAAATGCACTGGTATATGTACCGTTTTCTGAGACCTCAAGATTTTTATCAGTCCCAAAATCTGAGAAAGTAACCCTGAAAACATGATGGTCAAATATGGATTGATCACTGCACAGTATGTATATATACCTTTTCCAGACCAAACAACAGTACAGAGACGTGCATTGCTCTCCATAGAAATGAAAACAGATCACAGATAAAAGCTTAGTGTGAACAACTTCAGTCTCATTATGAACATATTGAATATCAATCTACAGAGTTTTCCAAACTTACACAATATTTATTTTGCTCAAGCGACATGTGATTTTGTCAACCTTAAAGACTTTAAATTAGTGTCAAACCACAATTATCATAGCAGTATCACCATACCACTAACCAGGAAATTTTCGCCTACATGCAACATTTGACCTTTAAAATTTTCGTTCATGATCATGGAAGGCTAATTTAAGATTGGGGGGCCTAAAACTGGTTACACCTTATATAATACAAAGAGAGTAAAATGAAACATGAAGCAAATTATGAATAAGTGTACATGAGTGAAAATATGCATTGCTCACATGGCAAATTTGGCCTTTTAATAAGGCATTCAAAATATGCAAAATAATTCCCAAAACCATCTCCTTACTGGGTCCTGCCCTTGTGGTCACAAAGGGTCAGATTCAATGTTCCAAACTTGGACAATATCCTTGTATCGAGAAGAATTTCTCTAAAATTTACATTTCCCCAATTTGGCCCATCCCTCGTGCCCTATGTGGCTGTATTTCCCCTATTGGGCCCCATCTTCCATTTTTTGCGAAAGGGGAAGATGAACTGTTTAAACAAAATTGATTCCCCTTCACCAACGAATGCTTCACATCAAATTTGGGCAATATCTACCCTTCTGGACCCTGGGAACCGAGAACCAATCCTGACACAAACTTGGTTACCTTTCATGCAAGGATACTTGAGAAGTAGAATTTTTAGGAATTTGCTTATTTCCCCAATTGGGCACAACTGATTCCCTTTCACCGAAGAATATTTCAGAATGTATTTGTGCAATATCTTATCATACCTACAGGAGGAATAGGATTTTAAAGAACTTGAAAGATGCCGGATGGACAGATGAACTAAAAACAGAAAGACTTTATCGTGTTAAATCTCCATACCTTGTGGGCATAAGATGGTTGTAGTTGTATACTCTCATGAAAGTCTTCATCTTGGACCTATCCTTGGTCTTCTTCTTGCCCATGTCACGGGTAACCTTGCGTGGGTATCGGTCAATGCCTGCTACTAGGGCATGACCATAACCCTTCTCTTGTGTACCATCATCGTAGTTCTGTAAAAAGCAAGTTATTTCACTGGTATACTATACTGGTTCAAAGAAACAGGTTTTTTAATGCTATATTATCATGTCGACATTAGCATTGTACTCTGTAGTTCAGATTGATTCAGCAGAGATTGTACGTCAAAGATCTTCATGTTGAAAACTGTTTTTCCGATTTAATGTATTCTATTAATGAATGCTAAAAATGTCACATAAAAAAAAACAAAGATTATCTCATATTTTTCATTTTACAAGGGGCAGAATTTCTTCTCTCATCCAAAATTGAATCAAGAAACTACTTTCATGTATGAGAGGTCGTCAGAGTATACATAGGGTATTTTTTGGGGGACCATCTGTCATCGAGCGATTACCTCACCTTCACAATGACAGCTTTACGGCCAGCAAATCTTCCGTTCAAGACAAGCACCACCTTCCCTTGCTTCATGAACTTGCCCATGGCTGCTGTGAACAAAAATAGTCAAAAATCAAGATTCAAAAAGCAACAGACCATAACACATCCTATACAAAAACACTGGAGGACAGAAAACCACTCATCCCATACCTATGAGAGATACATTTTAGTATTCTAATCATAAATAAAAATATGGTAACGAAACAATAATAACAAAATAAAAGACAACACCATCACATTATGGTAAAGTCGATTAAGTTTGAATGAAATCAGTTGAAAATTGAGCGAGATTCTATGGACGAAATCTAGCTGAAATAATGCTAAGGGTAAGCACTCTTCTGTACGTTGTCTTCAGAAAAACATTCACAAGGTGCATAAAAAAATGTTAAGAGCTGTTCTAACGACGAACGAACCGTTCCAGCTGCACATTCTGCGAGAGGGTCGTGTGGAACATTTTTCCAGTTGTGTATCAATAGTTTTTAACATTATCTATGCTAAACAATCGTTCGCACAACCACTATAAGTTCAAAGTTTGAACCAAACTTAATACTAGAGCGCTAGATAAATATTATCCAACATGACGTTGAACAGTGTACCAGGTATGTTATGACTACTACCAAATCTTGCATTCCTAGCAGACACAAGTGCCAAAGTTTAGAGTGCAATAAGCTGTGTGAAGTCCCTGTTTGTGCGTGTTTAATTATCATATCGATTGTTAATGCTCACCCAAGGTGTGTGTGTGTTGTCATGTCATCAAAGTATCAACGTAAAATACAATTTACTCCAACTTAAGTCATGTTGCACGTCAATACAATGGACGAATTTCTTGTTTTCGAGTGGATTATAACAGCATGTACCGAAAGTATATGGCAAATAAGTATAAATCTATGAAATTTGGTTTAATCTGTGTACATCTGTCTGAACTCCAATATATTTACTATCGTGATGGTGGAGATAACCGGGGGATATAATTTCCACATTGGACACTTGCCTATGAGCAATGGCCGCTGTAGTAGAAAGGAAGTAGTTCTTTACAGTTGCGCAAAGGGTTGAGTCTAAAAACCGTGCCGGAGTACTGGGCAGATGCAGATATTTACTTATTTTTACGGTAATCATTTATTTATCATTCGTGTTATTAATCAAATACACCAGAAATTTGCAAAGTTAGTATGTGTTTTAATTTAATATAAGCTCACAATATTGATCTGTCACATTTTCTTTATAATTTTCCGGAAAGAACTTGTATAGTGATACTAATCACCAGCACATTGTACTGGACACAACGTGTGCATAATCACCATCAGTCAGATGGTAGTTCATAAAAAAAAAAATTATCGCGCCCAAAAACTGATCGACCCTAAACTTTATCTTCCAGCACAGGTCTCCGCCCAAATATATATTTTGGACTCGTATAATGTCTTCGACGATATGCCATATAACTTCGTCTTATTTTAGTTTTAAGTGGAAAAATTAACCGGCGAGATCAGAACGATAAATTGTGCGGTGGAACATTGGAAAAATAACATAAATGACTAACTAATACATTAACACTGAAATTACTTTCAATATGTAAATATTATATACAATCACCATAGTATATATTTTCTGTCCTATATTGTGGGTTATTATTATTCATTATTCATTTCATGATTCCACTGCATGCTGATCAGATTTCAGGTAATTTAAAAAGAGTAAAGGTAGTATTTACTACACTATCATGTTGCTCACTGTTTTGTTTTCGCTACAAACAACAAGGTGAGACAACAGGATGAATAACGCCACAAACTGTGAATAATACTTAACTGAATTAAACAATTTTACATTAGAAGTTATTTATATTGTATCCAATTGCTATAGATATAGAAGCTAAAATCTTTCTCCTGTAAATATCCAAATAAATCCGGACAAAATGTTCAGATGCATGAATCAACATAATACTGAAATTACTGATAGGTGGCTAAAATCCAAATCGAGAGATTACCACTTGCATTGTTATTGGATATTGAATCAAAAACAAAACTTTACAACGGTTTGTAAATATTTATTTTGCTACCGTAAAAACCCGCGCGAAAAGTGCGCATTTGTGATGAAACAGTACAGGTCTAAAGTGGGAGAACAAAAGTAAATTAAATTATTTCTGTAAATATTAATTAGTGCAAACTATCCGAGTCGGCCAAAACCAAAACCAGGATGAAATGTTTGAAAACTCGACAGCAACTAGAAAGACGGATGAAGACATTGGCCTATGTAGAACCAGAGACGTATATACGTCTCTGATAGAACATAGAAAAATAAGTCGATTATAAATGACTGTCCTTTGAAACACTGTTAAGAAATGACAGTATCAATTTTAGTCTGTTTCACTCTGGCTATGTGCACTTGCGCGATTGTCTGCTGAAATCAGGTACTGGCGGAAGTTAGGGTTGAAACATACAACACTATTTTTCCTCTTCGATTTTTTTTCTGTCATTTCTTCATTTCTATGTTTGTATTCACTTCGAAGAAATAAATCATAAATATTTCGTTGGCGTGAGACATGTATTGTTCCGCCCGGCGGTCGATTACACCACAGTCGTCTTTCAATACCGAATCAGCGAATTTGCTCTGTCTTCGGCCATGATATAGGCTCTAATTTTCGGCTGAAGAATTATCAACTATCAAGCATTGTAGATGAAATGAGACTGAAATAGTGCAGTGTTTTCATAAAGAAATTCAAATTTAGGTCAGATTGAGCTACTTTCAGTCAGTGACACGCTGTCCTCTAGAGAGGTACACGCATCTACATAAAATCGAAGCCCTTGTCAAGTATAAGATAACTAGATATGCTTCAGAAACACTGTATGTACTGCAAATGATATTTCTTCGCAAAACATCAAATTTACATCAATTTAAAAAAAGGCAGACAGACAGATACAAATGTAGGTAGCTATGTAGGTAAATGATGATGTAGGTAAATGATGATGATGATGATGATGATGCTGGAGGTGAGTACAATCGCTAAATTGACATCATGTATTTCATTTTAAAATTATATTCACCCAATAAGATGTAAAACGTAAGGAATGAAATTTGATTTGATTTGCAGAGCTCACCTTAATGAACTGACTTGCAGGTGTTTCATGTCAAAGAATTGATATAAGCTCTAATCCTTTTTCCGACATGAATTATATTTACGAGTAATATTGTTGAGTATTTAATAAAATCTTATTCAAATTTGGAATAGGCTTTAGAAAACATTTACTTTGATTGGGTTATTTAAAACAGACTATAATAGACACACCTCCAGCCTCGTGCAAATTTATTGGTTGATATATTTCACATTGACCTTGCGACCTCTTCCAGACACTAGCAGTTGCAGCAATGAAAATCGACTTGCACACTCATATTTTACCTGAATCTTGGCCCGACTTAAAAGAGGTTTGTTGATTTTTAGAGGAAATACTAAACTTAAGAAGTTTTTTGAAACACATGCATCGATGCAGCTTCTGTCATTGGCCATTTTACTTGAACTTTAAAAGTTGATCGATCCCATGGCCGAATGCGATCCTGTACAACATACTTGAAGTCGAGAAGTTATATCAGTGACGTATAATGATATATATACTTTACGTCCATACTTATACCAATAGGAATATAGCTAGCAAGGTGAAACTATAAAGAAAAACTTCCCAGTTTACATTTCGAAGTTGTTTGACTGACATAGATCACACTTTTACGAAAAATAGGTCTAACGGTAACTCGGCGGGGAAGTATTCAATACAAAGTGCACCGACACATATAAACAATGACAAAATTAAGTTATCCAAACTGAAACACCAAATCCAGAAACGAAAAAGACAAGAATATTGGGAGAATCTGGTTGAAGGCAATGTTTTCCATTAAACATTAAAAAAGATGAATCCAGCACTATCTCTCCTAAACAATCCCAACAAAAGTTTGGTATGCCAAATATTTTCTTCTTCACTAACACACCTGTAGCATTTTGAAGGACATGAAACCTTCTCTAAGAGAGTAATTTTATACTACAGTAAGAAATCTCGGTGACAAGATACATGAGACAGAAATGCCATTGGATACGTTTTGTTTTTTGGTTTGAGGATGTTTTATTTTTTTTTTTAATAAACTACAGTGATCAAAACCACAATCTAGTAGAATAAAAAGTTCTTATATAACACAAGCATTACCTAGCACATCTATAACCAAGTCTGAAACAAATTGTGGTTGGAAATTGTTACCATCACATTAAATTTTTTCTCTCTATAATCTGTTTACCATCTTGTCACACTATTTTAAAACTTAGTGTACATATGATTATAGAAGATATGGAAAAAAGTTGATTCGTAAATCATCTCTATAAAGCCTACTATTAATACTTGGAGTAGTCATCCAGTAGTACTATGTAGTGTGTGTAATCTGTGCTTACAATTTCTTCGTAACAAACCAAATTTTCAGATCCTGTGTTTTTTTTTTTTTGTTTTTTTTTTTTGTACAATAGTTTCAATTTTTACAATTTCATCAGAAGCATGATACAAGAAGGATGTGTTTTTGTGGA